ACATTGGCATCTATGTCATTCGCCAAAGGCCAATTGTTGGTCTCAGCCAGATCTACAAGAGTTTTAGACGAATAGTTTGTAGAAGGAAGGATGAATACAAACACATAAAACTTTCGTATTTAAAAAATATATATCGATAAAGAAAGATCAATACAGATTTTTGCAGATTATATGCAAAAATAGACAAGGTAAAGATAACCTATCCAAAACAATCTTAGTTTACACATAGATATACTTAATAGAAAAAATTTGCTGGAAGATAAAGATAAAAAGAAGTACTTCTTGGGTGAGAACTTTTTAAAATACTTGAGAGGGATTCTAACTTGCTTGAAAATAAGCGTAAGTGTTCTTTTAGATGTGTGTGTATATGCGTGTGTTCTCTGCATGGAGAGAGAAATCATCTATTTATACCAATTGCATTCAATTAATTCAGAAGGATTTGAACACGCTTCCAGATTTCAGAGGAAAGCTTGCCCTTTGCTACAGTGAATAGTATAATTGTCTATTCATGAGCAAACATCCTTTCGTAGAGTTGGTGGGCACTAGAGTCGACTAGTCGTCTCTATAAAGTACTATACTCTAGAAGGGGTATGGGTTTGTCCTTTGTGTGTGGAAGGACAAGACAAAAACAATCTTGCACAACAAGCTTCATTTGATCGTTGAATGCTAGAATAATACTGAAGGTTTCCTCAGCATTCAATAAGGCTTGGGCGGTCTTAGCACATATATTGACCAAGTTGTAATCACTGAAAACCACTTCAAATCACAAATGTGCCAGTCACTAATCTTCAATTTCAGTCTTCCACTTTCACTGAAGGTTCTTTGGAGTGAGTTTTGTTTTCTTGAACTATCGTTGTCGCTGTAGGATTTACAATACATGTTTCAGCGATCACTGAACATACTCAGTGATGATCGTTGGAACTGAAAGAACAGAAACATAATACTTCGAATGTTAAAAGGGATAATCATAAAATCAACGAGGGAGAGGATCAACACCAATCAACTTTTCCGGCGTAATCTTTCAAGATCTGGTGCTGAAGCTAAACAAGCACCAAAGGGAGAAGGTAGTACCTTACACCAGGTTCTTATCCATGGTGTTTGCTAAGATATTTAGTAACAAGTACTCCACAGAAGGCAACCTTCCCATCTGCAAGCTTGGATCCAGAATCTTGGATCATAAGCTGAGAATTGAAGACGTTGAATTATCCTCCATTGTGCCTGCATATCCTTCTTCATCTTCTTCAGTTGTGCCGGTATGTCCCTCTTCCATTGCTCAGGTGGTCAAGACTAAGGAAAAACCCCCAAGGTCTATCCCAACCACCACCTCCCTCTCTTCTAAAAGAACCTCCTCATAAACCACTCTTGGTTCTCCATCGAGAGCCAAGAAAGCAAAAAAGGGGATAACCACATCTTTCACAGTTACCTCTCAAAAGGTTCCAGCTATTGAAACTAGCCTTAACCCCGAGTACATTCCAGAGTCTGATCTAGCTGTTCACGATCTTCTTCGATGAAGGACGGTGCAGGTGTTGGTACTGGCTATTAGAGAATTGCCAGTATCTATTGCACCAGCTCAATATGCTTTGCAAGATGGTATTTCGCTTCATCGGCCTTACTGTTTAAAGTAGAGATGGCCTCAGCGTTGGCGCACACAACTGCTTGCATCGAGGAAAGCTGTTCTTTGACCTCTTTAACATCAGCTTTGACAGCTGAAAGGTCAGGAGAGACTTCATCCCTGAGAGGCATGCCCTTATGGACTACATTCATTTTGATAAGGACAGACTCCACAACAAGGAGAATAAGCTTTACATCATCAGCCATGTTGTATTCTTCTTCCATCACTGGCGTTTCTTTGGAAGGACATGAAAATGAAAAAGTTTGAGCATAAGATAGCTTCGGGATAGAATAAATGAAAGGGTAGGATGGAGGTGTACCAGAGGGTTCATCTTCAACATCTGAAAGATTGATGTTGGTTCGCTCCAGGTTGCCTTCGAGAGGATAGGCGACCATATGTTGAGATGCGTCGAGAGGAGCAATCTCAGGTCCTGTGGTTGGTGCTTCATCATCAGGGAGGAAAATCGTTGATGAATCATAAGCATGTATCAAAATCGCTGATGAATACTAAGCATGTATCAAAACCAAGTAAGGAGGAGAGGAGAAAATGGCTGATACTGATGGACGTGGGTGTTCAGCAGTAACAATGCTAATATTCACACCATCAGTGATTTGGGTCACTGAGGCGATTAGGATCGGAGCCACAGGTACGATAGTGATTGTAGAAATCACTAAATATATGGGAATGGATGATGCTAAAGGTGCCTCAGGGATAAGGCAAGTTTCAATAGCTGAAACTTTTTGAGAGGTCACAGCCAGAGACGTGTGTATCCCCTTTTTGGCTTTTTGGCCCTCGATGGAGAACCAAGAGTGGGTTGAGAAGATGGACGTTTGGAATAAAGGGAGGTGGTGGTTAGGATAGACTTCGGGGGTTTTTCTTTGTCTTGACCACCTGAGAATGAGAAGAAGGAAGTACAGGCACAACTAGAGAAAATGAAGAAATAGGTTGCACAATAGAAGAAAGTGCAATATCTTCATTTCTCAGCTTATAATCAAGATTCCTAGATCCAAGCTTACAGATAGGGAGATTACCTTTTGTCGAGTACTTGTTGCCAAAGATTTTGGCAAACACCATGGAGAGAAATCTGGTGTAGGGTACTACCTTATCCTTCTGGCGCTTGTTTAGCTTCAGCACTAGGTCATCGAAGATCACAGCCACAAAGTTGATCGGGCACTGGCGGATGACAGAAACGCCAATGTTGAGCACGAACCTGAAGGCTTGGTCTTGGACCCCAATCTTGCCTCACATACACTAATTGAAATGGGAAAACAAGTACTGCCACACCACAGACATGCGGTTCCTCTCAGTCTTCGATATCGACTTGAGGAGTTCGCTGGAGACCTTCTTCATTGGCCAGCCGTAGCCAATATCATCAAGGTTGACAATGATGATTTTGGTAGAAGGATCACTGATGAAGGGACCATTGGGAAAGTGAAGGGTGTGCCTTAGCGTTGTAACGCCAAAGCTGACGGTCTTGCGGTTGAAGGTGAAGGAGATTTTTCCACCTGGTGACCGTGCTTGTTAGTATCTTGAACGACTTCAGCAGTTAGCAAGAACTGTTGAAGGGCTTCCTTCACCATGAAAGGTTTATGGGTGAGAGCATATGAAATGGGAGAGTTCTTGAGGAAGGTAGAGGCTTCCTCGTAGTAGGATTTGTTCGCGGGAATGTCCAACAAGGCCACATGATTGTTTGGCTTGAAGGACACGTCTTCGATGGAAAAGTTCACATTCTTAGCAGCCATTTTCTATTATAGATAATAAATAATAAATAGCAGGTTCGTTAGTAGTCCAAGATAATAATGTGAACTTTTAAGTTTTATAACAATAAAACTTCTTTTGAAAAATCCACAAATAAAATATTAGGGTTTTTCAAGAAGAATAAGTGTTTCAAAACTTTAGGTTATAACCAAGTAGGAGAATGTGTTAATAATATTTATGCTTGTAGTTTAAGAGAACAAGTTCTTATAGACAAGCAATAGTTTCATAAAAGAAGAAGAACAAATCAAGAATAAAAGAAAGAGTATCAACCATAGAGATTTAGAAGAAAAAGGTCGAAGGGTTTTTGAGCGTTCTTAGTTCTTACTTCTTACTTGCAAATTTGGTTGGCAAAGGTTCGACTTGAGATTTTGAAAGCGTAAGAGAAAAATGAGAGGAGAAGTCTCATATTTATAGGTAGGAGGAAAGAGAAATAGAATTAGGAGAGAAGAAAATACGACTGTTAAGGATGTGCAATGATGAAAAAGTAGCACGTTCTCATCCACGATTGGATGGAATTTTGAGCAGTCATATGTGTCAGAACGGTACGCGCGTCTCAAAACAAAATCGTATTGGTAAAAGAAAATGTCATCATAAAAATGGTTCATTTTTTTTCTTTTAAAACAAAAAGGTTTTAAGAAATTCAAGAGCCACTTTCTTAAAAATATGAAAGGGTTTTGAAAATGTTCAGTGTTAAGAAGAATCACTGAATGAAAAGACCTTTTAAAACATTTGATCACTGAAGTAGAAAAGCTTCAGTGATGGTTTTGTTTTAAGAAAGGAGAATATCGTAGACAGAAATTTCCATAAAAGATACAGTGATTAGAGAAACACTAAAACTATCTTTTAAAAACTTTTGAATCACTGAATGAAGAAAGATTCAGCGATCATTTTTATTTTCAGATAAGATAAGTATATTAGAGAGATATACTTAATTAAAAATGTTCACTGATAGAATGAATCACTAAAATAAACTTTTAAAACGTTTTGATCACTAAAGGAGAAAAACTTCAGTGATAGTTTTAAGTTTTAAAATAAGAAGAAAGAGTATACATACCTTAGAGAGAAGAGATATATTTACTCAAGAGTTTAGTGGTAGAATGAGATCAATGAATCATTTCACTTACTGATTGATGCATATAGCTAAAAAAAATTAATCCTCAACATTTAGTATTTCAAGTTCGCTGATCAAGATGTTAAATCTTTTCTCATCGAGAGGCTTCGTGAAAAGGTCAGCGAGTTGGTAATCAGTGGAAATCAATTGAATTTTAATATTACCATCCATAACATGATCTCTGATAAAATGATATCGGATCTCAATATGTTTGGTCTTGGAATGAAGAACAGGGTTGTTTGCAATCGTACTAGCACTAGTGCTATCACAATATACAACAATCTTTGGAAAACTGAAGATCATAGTTGTTGAGCTAGTTTTTCATCCAAAGGACTTAGGCACTAAAAGTTTCTGTGGTATCTTATTTTCTCTGCCTCGATACAATAAACAGAAGCCCCTTAAATAGGGGAAGAAACCTATGTATACCCTATCACTAAATTAGGAATAGATCTGTCTAATAATTACAGATAATTGTAAACATTACAAAGTTGTCAAAACTAGTCCCTGTAAATATGTTGGCTAAGACTCCCCCGCAGTCTGAGTGGGCAGTGGACAGACGCTCAAACTGGACCTGAAAGACTGAAACAGTTGTCTGGAGAGGCTATTTGTAAAGATATCAGCATACTGGAGAGATGAAGGGACATGCAGAACACGAGGATGACCAACTTTAACCTTTTCCCGCACGAAGTGGATATCAATCTCAATGTGTTTAGTTCGCTGATGCTGAACTGGATTATTTGATAGATAGACTGCAGAAACATTATCACAGTAGACAACGGAGGCCTGTCTCAAAGGAATATGCAGCTCTAGTAATAAATTTCGAATCCAAGTGGCCTCGGCCACAGCATTGGCGACACCCCGATATTCTGCTTCAGCACTAGAACGAGAGACAGTAGGCTGTCGTTTCGATGACCATGATATTAAATTATCTCCAAGAAACACGCAGTACCCCCCAATCGGCGTCCGAGTATGCAGTCAAAGAATGATAATTGGACCTGACAATCCGAATCCCATAATCAAGTGTCCCTTGTAAGTATCGAAGAATACGCTTCAGGAAAGCATAATGCGGATCACGTGGTTCATGCATGAATAAACACACCTGCTGTACCACATAAGAAGTATCTGGTCGGGTGAAAGTTAGATACTGTAAAGCGCCAGCCAAACTCCGATATAAAGTAGGATCCGAAAACAAGTCTCCATCTGTGGCACTCAATTTTGCAGAAAGATCGACAGGTGTAGTGCAAGGTTTACAAGAAGACATCGAGGCCCGAGAGATGATTTCTTTTGCATACTGTGACTGATCTAAGAATAACCCATGAGAGTTGCAGGTGACCTGAAGCCCCAAAAAATGATGCAATTGACCCAAGTCTGTCATAGCAAACTCTCGTGAGAGTTTGTTAATAATCTCCTGCAAGAACGTGTCTGAAGAAGCCGTGAGATAGATATGTTGTGTGAGAACCCCTGCTATAGATGAAAAGAGAATTATCACAAGCACTGGTGCGGAAGCCCTGCGATAAGATATATGTTGCAAACTGAGTGTACCAGGCCCGAGGGGCCTGTTTAAGGGCATACAACGACTTGTTCAACCTGCAGACATATGAGGGGTATCGTTTATCAACAAAGCCCGGTGGTTGATGCATAAAGACTGTTTCATTCAAATATCCGTGAAAAAACACGTTTTTAACATCAAGCTAATGAATGGGCCACGAACGGGAAACAACAACTGATAGCACAGTGTGTATGGTAGCCGGTTTAACAACCGGACTAAAAGTCTCATCACAATCAATACCTACGGTTTGAGACTTCCCGTTTACAACTAACCGAGCCTTATATCGTTCTAGAGAGCCATCAGATTTTTAAATTTGTGGCGAAATAACCACATGCAACGAATGACCGGTTTATCAATCGGACAAGGCACCAACTCCCATGTATCATTAACCTATAACGCACGAAATTCTGTTTGCATAGCATGCAACCAATGAGGGTCGGTAAAGGCTTTGGAGTAGGAGGTGGGTACAGGAGAGATAGTTGTGGAAATTAGCGTGTGTTTGGCTTTTGAACGAGTGGTCATGGGATGATTATTGTTGCCAGTCAGGGCTGATGAGGCAGCCTGGGATGGGATAGGAGGTATAGAGGCTGGTGGAGTTGGTGTGGGTAACGGGGCCGATGGTCGGGGATGATGGGTATAGGTAAATTGAAAAGGTGAGGTCGAATGTGGGGGAGGCTGGGTCGGTTTAGGTGTGGGTCGAGCAATGGGCCTGGTGAAAGTGAAACCGTGTGGTAGATCATCAAGGAAATTGTAGTTGGTATTAGGTGTGGGTATGGTGTATGGAAAGGTGTTCTCGTCAAAAGTAACGTGACGAGAAATAGTGACTTTTYCCGTGGTAGGATCAAAGCATCGATATCCTCTAAAATCGGGAGGATATCCTAGAAAGATGCAACAGACGGAGCGGGTATGTAACTTATGGGGTTGAGTGGCGGATGAATTTGTGTAGCATGCGCTCCCAAAAACACGTAGGTGATCATAGGTTGGGTGGCGGAGATATAAGGCAAATGTAGGGGTAAAAAAGTTAAGGCGTTTTGTAGGTAGAATATTGTGAAGATAGGCGGCTGTATGCAAGGCTTCCACCGAGAAGGTAGGAAGAAGATGGGCATGAATAAGTAAAGCATGAATGATATCATTGAGGCGTCGAATCATACGTTCAGCCCGGCTGTTCTGGGAAGATGTTTGCGGGCAAGAAAACCGAAACAAGAGGCCGTGCTGTTGGGCAAAGTCCTTAAAAGCATGGTTGTCAAATTCACCACCCAAGTCACATTGGAATGTTTTAATATGACGGTTAAATTGGGTGAGAATCATTCTATGAAATTTGGTAAAGGTTGGGAAGGTTTCTAATTTATATTTAAGTGGGTATACCCATATAAAGTGTGAAAAGTTGTCAATAAAGACCATGTAATATTTATATCTGGTTGTACTGGCAATGGGTGAAGTCCACAAGTCATAATGAATGATATCAAACGGGGTAAAGGTAAAAGAATTAGATTCATAAAATGGTAAACGTTTGTTGTTGGACAATTGACAAGAATTGCAAACAATGGAAGCATGATTTTTATTACATGAAAAATTAAAACGATGACTAAGAAGGTCTAAGACTTGAGCGCCAGGATGTCCAAGTCGATCATGCCAAGGTAAGGAGGTAGATGTGAGTGAGCAGGCTTAAGGCGGAAGTGTTGGTGGCGTAACTGGATAAAGATTGCTCGTGCTATTGTGGTGGGACAGGAGACGTCCGATTTTGAGGTCCTTCAATGAAAAACCAAAGGGATCGAAGTCAATAGAAACATTATTGTCACGGGTAAACTTACGAACAGACAAAAGGTTTTTGATGATTTGTGGACTATAAAGAATATTTGGTAAAATATAGTTACGGTTGTATATGGGAAGAAAACCAGTACCGGACCCTGCAATAGGTAAAACATTGCCATTACCAACAAGAATTTTCGTGTGAACAAGAATAGAATTAGGATGTTGGATCATACCTCGGTTGTCAGTGACATGTTGCTCAGCACCGGTGTCGAAGTAGTTGTTGGGATCCGTGTAGTTCAACTACATGGTATTAAAGGCATCACTTAAATCAGAAGGATTCAATGCGTCAAACCCGGTGAAAACTGGGTGTTGGGTGCTGCCAAAGTGACCCGGAGGAGGGAAGCCTGCATAGTTAGCCGATGGGGTCATGGACGGGTATTGTGGTGGTTGATTGGGTTTCCATGTGGTTTGTGTAGGGTAAGGGCAAGGTGGAGTGTTCCACCAAGCCCATTGGGGGTAAGAGTTATTCTGAAATGCCCAATTAGATTGAGAGTTTCGGTTCCCATGTCCATGTCCTCGGCCCCGGTATTGCTGCGCGCAACCCCTGCCTCTGCCACGGTATTGAGACTATGGCTGTTGAGAGGTATTGCTGCTGTTCGGAGCGGACTGCTGTTGGATCAGAGTAGGGGCAGGAGCTGCGGGAGTGACAAGAACTGATGAGGATTGTTGTTTCCGGGCTTCAAGACGTATCACCTCGTCGGTAAGCATGGTACGGGCCAGATCCCAATCGGCATCCTGGGAGTTGATCAACGATGYTGTAGTATCAAATTCGGGGGATAAACCTCGAACAAGCTGTAATACAAGACGCTTCTCGGGAAYCGGTTGGCCAACATCAACTAGCTGGTTGGCCAAATCTTTGAGTTGTTGACAATAATCTTCCACCGAATTACAGGCAGCAAGCGTGAGATTGACAAATCGGGTTTCCAGGGTTGCGGCTTTGGCTTGCTTGTTGCTCAAGAAAATCTTTTCAAGTTTGAGCCAGATGGTTCGTGTAGATGCTTCAGTGTCAAGAACTCGAACAAGAAGATCGTCAGAAATTGTACTGTAGATCCATTGAGAAACAATGGCATCTAACTCCTTCCAAGATTCATAAGAGGGATCTGTGTTGGCTGGGGCAGGTGTATCATTGAGATGATCCAAGACTTTGTAGGCGATGGCGTGAAACCTAAAGAGTTTCACCCAAGAGGAGTATGTAACTTTAGACCCGTCTAACGTGCGGATCTTGGTCTGAATGTTTGAAACCGAATAGGCGGGGTGGAGAGATTCGGCAGAAGAACTGCTTTCAGGTTTGTCATCTGACTTTGTCATGGTGTTAGATCAGAATCGAAGGGTTGGGATGAGAAGAAGATGGAAAAAAATCGGACGGTAGGGTAAAAAGAGTCAGAACCATAGTACTGATACCAAAAAGTTTATGTGGTATCTTATTTTCATTGCCTCGATACAATAAACATGAGCCCCTTAAATAGGGGAAGAAACCTATGTATACCCTACCGCTAAATTAGGAAAAGATCTGTCTAATAATTACAGATAATTGTAAACATTACAAAGTTGTCAAAACTAGTCCCTGTAAATATGTTGGCTAAGACAACAACTTCTAGTGGCAACGTATTCAGCTTTATCGGTTGATGTGGACATTGAGTTTTGCTTTTTTTTTTGTCCAGCTCACCAACTTTTCACCTAGAAGCTAACAGCCTCCAGTGGTGCTTTTCCATTCAATTTTGTAACCTGCAAAATCACTATCCGAGTAACCTATTAGGTCAAAACCTAAACCATTAGGGTACCACAGACCCAAATTAGGAGTTCCTTTCAGGTATCCGAAAATGCGTTTTACAGCAATCAGATGGGATTCCTTAGGTTCAGATTGATATCGTGCACATAAGCAATTAGAATATATGATTTATGGTCGACTACCTGTAAGATACAGAAGGAAGCCGATATTTCCTCTATAAACAGTTAGGTTTACAGGCTTTCCATTTGGATTCTTGTTCAGATAAAAAGGAGGACCCATAGGAGTTTTCGTAGATTTGTTGTTAGAGAGATCAAACTTTTTCAGCATATCACGGACATACTTACTTTGACTGATAAAGATACCTTTATCGAATTGCTTGATCTGGAGACCTAAAAAGAAGGTTAGTTATCCCATCATACTCATCTGGTATTTTTTTTCTTCTTGCGATCAACGAACCGAAAACATAAAGAGGGATTACTGGAACCAAAAATAATACCATAGACATATATTTGGACTAGAATGATATGAGCTTCAACTTTCCTAAGAAATAAGGTATGGTCAATCTTTCCACAGACGAATTTCTCAAAGATGAGAAACGAGGAGAGGGTATCATACCAGGCATGGGGAGCCTGTTTTAACCCATAAAGACCTTTATCCAAACGATAGACAAATTAGTCTCATACCTCCTTAAGGCATTCCGATATTGCACCATTTCATCCAAAATTTCTAGAGCACTTATCAAAAGAAACCTTTCTCTCGGACTCATTCTTTCACGTTCTGCCACTTTGTCATCAGTAGCTTTAATTCTTTCAAGAGCTTTGTTCACTATCTTTATCATCCCGTCACAGTACGTGTTCAGCTCGCTGAATATCATAAATCTCTTAGCTCTATCAGCACCATCATAGATAACACCAAACTCAGGATCTTCAAGTATCAGAAACAGAGGGTAGCCTTCAATGTCATCACGGTCTTGGTTAGGTCTCTTTAAGTTTATCTTTTGATTTCTTTTGAAGCCCATCTGTACATCGATAACCGAAGACATCTTGACATGACTCTTAAGATATCTCTTGATCGCTTCAAGGCCAAGAACCACTCCTTCCCTTCTAACTGTCAGATCATGAATCTCATGGTATAAATGCTCCAAATCTTCAAGATAGAGGTTCGAAAAATCAGCTTCACTGAACGTCCAGATACGACCATCTTGTCTCGTGACCGTGAATACTGGATACGAGACTCATACAAGTTTGTTGACATCAATACTCTTGATTGAAACAATTTGGTGTGTGGTGCGTACTTGACTTATTAACTAGCGCTTTGCTTTAAGGAAATGCTTGTACTCGATATAATATTCACGTGTTTCCTTGTAAATACCGAGTATATTATCCCTGCTCAGTGCTTTCCAATGACGTACGAAGACGGAAAAGTAGATGTCTTCGAGATATGATTCTCTAATTCAAGCCGTGTCAGACACTAGGACATTGGTGCGTATAGCAAATGATACATAGTTCAAAGTCAAAGAATTTGTCCCTTGATTCATCAAGGTACCGCCCTAGTGGTATCAGATGCACCTTGAGACCCTGCAGTAGGAGGTTCAGGAGAGAATTGATGATCAGATTGGAATGGGAATATTGGATCATCTTCGTCGATGTCTACTTCAAAGTCAAAGAATTTGTCCCTTGATTCATCAATATTATCTATATCAGCACCATAATCCTGAACTCCTCCCACTTCTCTTGAAGAAACATCATTAAAAACCACGTTTGCAGACAGATCCAGAAGCAACCTTGTTTCTACAGTGGAGACCGCCGGCTTTTCAACCATTGGCTCGATCACTTGATCTGCCGCTACAGCCATCTCCTAGCATGTAGTCCGTTCACTTATACGAACTTGAACTGTACTTTCTTCTCTAATCTCTTCAGGTTCAGACTTCTCAGAAACACCTGAAACACCCATCGAAGACTCAGCCAGCCTCTGCCTTTTGTTCTCCCCCTCATGTTGATCAGGATCGTCCTGATCATCATGCCTTCTTTTAAGAGAGGTGGCTTGAGCTCGAGATGTATTCTTTAAGGCTGATACCTGTTCAAAGAGGGCATCAATAGAATTCTTCATTTGAGAAATTACTTTGGTGAATGAAGGGATTGTAGAACTAAGCTTGGAAAAGCTAAAAGCTACAATGCTTTGGAAAGCAAGAAACTCTAGGGCCTTAACTGTTGGGTTTTCTTCAATCTGTTGCCTTAGCAAGTGACATGATCTGCCTCTGCCGTATCTGGATTTTGTGATGAAATTAAATTGGTGTATAATAACCATTTGAGTTCGTCCATCGATTGGTCCAGCTCTCTTGGAGGTTCAGGGGCAGGCTGTGGTGACGGTGCAAAAGCTTCTTCAGGCATTGGAGCTTTTCCCTTCAATAACCTTTTGAGACTTAAGATTTCGTCACTCATAGTATCTTGGTCAGACTTTAGGGCGCCATCCAAATATTCCCTTGACACAAAGTCGGGAAAGCTAACACATAGATCACATAGATTGCCAGTTGAGACAACAGTTGAGTAAACTGTTGTGCCTACGTTCAGTGTTGGCGTAATTGTAGCACTTGTAGGATTTCTGACCTGTCTTTAAGGAAAGTCAAAATACTCCACTCCAGTCGTTCCGGCAAGTTCAATAAGAACTGCAGGTTGAGCAACAGATGCTCGAGACTCATGTGTACCTAAGTGTATTGGCTCTAGACTGAAGGTGTAATGAAGCAAATAGATTATGCGCTAAATCCTCATGAGAAGGTGAAACTGTTGCTTATTGAGAAGCAACAGAGTGGTTGGGTGGGGCGTGTATTTGAATAGTTGGGCTAGCTATGTTTGTTTCAATATCAACATTCAACGGATGAATGTCAATAGTAGATGTGGTTTCCCGACTTAGTGTATCGGCTAGAACTGGATGATTATCTTCTTTTTCAACTCCAAACTCACCCTCACAATTTTGTTCTCCTTCCCCTTCACACAACCTCTCAGGATTTTCAACTAAAACACCCTCATCCGACATTATAGCATCCAAAATTTGATCAAGCTTGCCAAAATTGCCGTAGTCTTCAGTAAAATCAACATCAAAAGAAAGGTCAGGAAGACTTGGACATTCTTGTTGATTCTGGTTAGCGTCGAAGAGCTCATCCAGATTGTCAATTATAGCTCCAACTTGCATAGTTTCAGGAGCAGCAGGATGAGCAGCATCATTCTCATCATTATCATTATCATCATCACCATGTTCATCAGCCTGAGTTGCTGAGTCTAATACGGTAGCTTCCGAGCTTGAAAAAGCTATGGAAGTACTATCAGTAGAAGTACGATGCCGATTAGAGTCTCCCCGCTCGACACTACCCCTTTCTATTACATTTTCTCTCATCTTAGAGCCCTGTTCAGGTACCCCTTGCACCTGAACTCTCTCTTCTAATTCTAAGCCTTCTCGCACATATGAGACATGGAGCACTCTGATCTGCAAATACAATCAACTCAGCTGGTATATTCAATATTGAATCGAGGTCTTTAACTTCAACGTGCGACCTTAAATGTTGCATCTTGAAAGACAGGCCAACTTCACTTGATTCTCTGGTCGGAATTTCTTCATTGGCGCACATCATAGCTTTGATTATAAG